AGCATTTGACCTTATATTCAATCTGCTCTACTTGTACGTGCCATATTTGCCTGATAAAACTGACCTAAATTTGGAAGCCAATGTTGAAAATCATGATGTATTTAATTTAGCAATCTTATTTATTTAGAGAAAATAAATACTTGCATGACAATAATATATGTTATTGACCAATACTAGAGCTCCAAAAATATAAAACATGTTGAGTATTTTATCAGCTGACTGTTAATCTTATAATTGTATAATGTTTTATTAACACTTTACATATGGGATTCCTTCTTTAATCATATAAGCAAGTCTCTAAGAGCCAGGTCATGGGCACTTTCTTGTCTGATTACAATATTTATGAACAGCCAGGCTATGATTGGTCATATAAATATTCAATCAGCCACAGGTATATATGTACATGTATACAGATTCACGTTTTTTTAAATCATGCTCCCTGGGGAGAAAGGTTGGGTCACATGAGGGAATCGAAGTATGTTTCATAGGATAATTTTGGAAAAAATTCTTCTCAAGATTATAGCAGTGCCACACTAAATCATACATGTACTTAAAGGGTATATGAAAACAACTCCAAGTTAAGGAGATAAAAGTTAACTTGTTCAAATTAATTAGCCTGGGATTAGGTTGGGGTTGAATTCAATTATCAAATTTATGTTTGCATGTATGAAAAAAAAACCTTCAAATATATCTCCTCAGGAACAACAAGGTCATGTTATTATGTGCCTCAAAGTTTTTTAGGGGAATCCAAATTCATTTCAAACTAACTGATTTTTCAAATAAAGATAGTTCAATGTAAGTGAGTTTGAGTGTAGTTCTTTAAATTTTGTACTTTTTTGTTTTACATGTATCTCCTTTAGTTTTGAACTAGAGAACTCTAAATTCTGTTTTACCCATATGACATTCCTAATTGGATTCCCCTAAAAAACTGGTATAGTTTCTTTGTAAAAAAAATACTTGTTTAGATTGAAGTCAGTTAAATTGAAAAACCCTGTTAATTTGAAGTGATTCTGAGGTCCGCTGCACACAAACTTGTTGTTTTGATAACAGTTAGACTGAAGTCGCCGATCGTGACACATGGACAAAGATGACTAATTATATATAAAGTCTAGCACTTGTAAATTTTTCACACTTGTGATTTGATGTCAGCAGACTTTCAAAAATTAAATTATGTCTCGTATAAACAATTTACATTTCTCACCAGAACATATTAGTTGTCGTTTTTATTTTTCTAACTACAGCATTAAAACTGACATGGCTAAAATTTACAGGGGTGTTGTTTATAAACTGGCATACGGAGAAAGTGCTGGAGTAAATAAAATTGAAACGTTTATTTTTAATGCAAATGAGACTGGGTTGTTCTCTAAATGTGCCACTTGACAAATAATTGCATCTATGCAGCAAGGAATGTCTGATGTTCTAGATGAATTTTTTCATGTATAATAGTCTTGAGAGTTTTCTGACACAGGTCATCTTAAAACGGTCAAAAATTACAGACATCTATGAAAAATGCAGATAAATATATTTCTAAAACACATACTGCATGAAATTTTCTGTAAAAAAAAATAATGAATTCTCGCATGTATATTTTTTTTACCATATCTACATTTATTATGTAACTCAAGACACACAGATATAATGAAATTCAGTTAATTTGAAATAAATCTCAGTCTCCCTTAAATTTCAGTCTAAACCAGCTTGACTTATTTTATTTGTCTCATGCAGCATTGCAACAAATCCTGACCTTTAATTTCCTTCATTTTAGGTAGGGGTTGGAATCCAGCAGTTTAATCCGTGACCTAATTTGTGAATTTGTTCACTTTCAAACGATAAGCTCAATTTTTTTGAAGTGACTGCATTTCATCATTTTGTCATTTTAGTGTCTTATTGTAAATTGATTCCGATTTATTTCCTGTTGGGTGAATTAAAAAAAAATGACCACCAAACTGAATTTTTTTGGCAAAATTCAACTACTTCTAACATATCTTTCACTTATATCATCATATTGCACATGCGTTCTAGTTTAAAATCCTGAAGTGGCAATAGAATAGAAAATGGGATAAAAAAGTTTCAGAATTTTTATTAGTAAAATTTCTTTTGAAAAAAGAAAATATCATTACACCTTAAAAGACTCTAAAATACATAATCACAAGAAATTATAGTTTTTTATGCTTCAAAATTGTAAAAGGGGTATAAATGAATAAATCTAGACCTTGATTAAGTATCTTCTCTTGTATATGTGACAAAAAAGTGGCTTTTTGATTGTTATTTTACATTTTTTTTTTCAATTCTGGTTTGAATAGTTTTAATAAGAAAAAAATATGAAGCAAATTCCCCAAAATTCACTTTTTTGTCCGTTCAAGTCAATTCTTTAAATCTAAGCCAAAAAAGAATTGTTAAATACGAGTTCTCTTACGAAAAATACTAGATTTTGAAGTGACCCTATGTTACATTATTGTGTTGCACTCCTGACATCTGATATGTATTTTATTTAACATTGTTTTAAAAATTATAACACACAATAACCCATTCTTACTTTGTAAATCAATTTGTCATGTTGATATTTTTCATCGTTTACAGCAGGTTTTTCATATTTTGAAGACCTTAAATCATGATTATTTGCAAAGTGTAATATATATAAATTGTATTTAAAATATATGTGAAATGATGAAAACTATTCCCTTAATTGACTGTAAAATTTCTGTAATTTGTTGATAGACATAGTGTTGTGAACATCAAATAGTATCAAGCATATTTTTTCAACTTATTTTTTAGTAAAGATAGTTAAAAAGCATTGGTAATTATGAAGCAGTTTTGTTGCACTCCTGACTGCAGTAAAGTTTAAAATAAAAACCATAGAACACAAAAATTCATAAAGTGTGGGCAACATCAAGTGGTTATGAAATTGTGCAATACTTATAGTCCAATACTTCATAATTAAAACAGATGAAAGTATTTAAAATTCGCATTTTATCTGGAATTATACCCTATTTTATGCCAAAAAAAACTAGCTTAAATGTATATATAGAAGATAAAATATATTTTAAAGCATATTTTCCTTTAGAAGACAAACACAGTAACCCACCAGAGAAATTCTACTCATCATTTTTTCTTTATTTTTATTCTTATTGGATGATTTATAATTCTAACATATTTGTTGCACTCCTGACCAAAAGCATTGGGGCCTTTAAAGTAGAATTGTGAAGTGAAAATTACATAAGAACTTGTTCTGTTGTTTCAGTGAAGTTGAGGAGGAATTACTTGAATTTTATGACAATGTTTTAGTGTGTTTATATTTTTAACGTTCATTAAAAAAATCACAAAAAAGATAAAAACACATCTGAATTGATAAAATTGAAAAAGGAAGGATTTTAATAATAAAACTGTCAATAATTTAGCATTAAATTATACAAAAAGATCATTATTAATTAATGAATACTTCTAAGCATGAATAGAAGTCTTTTCGTCACACAACTTGAATCTTTAAAAAAATGTGTTGCACTCCTGACCATGGAAATATGGATCTGAAGCACAGACAGATCCTGTAATTGATAAATCTATTTGATAAAAATGTTTTTTGTATCTTTTTTTTCCAAAATAAAAATCAGAAAATCATATAATGATAACAGTTTTTTCATGCTTGGGAGCAAAACATCAAATGTTGCACTCCTGACATTTTTGGGTATGCACATATACTTGACTCTCATTAATGCTGCTTGTGATTTATATAACATTTTTAAGTTTTAAAATGTATATCAGTTATTATTTTACACTTCCAAAATTCTTTTTTGTCTTAATTTTCTATCAGAATTTTACAATTGATGTTTTTTTGGCAACACTACATTTTTTCTGTTGCACTCCTGACATGGTATAACATTTTTTTAAACATCGGCCATGACCACAACCTGATTAAACAAAAGTTATGACAGTCCACATTTAATGCTCAATACTTTGAATATTATCAGGAAAGTCTTTATTTTCAACATGAAGCATTATTTTTTATTTCACAGATCTCCAAAAAATATTGAAATTTCAAAATGTCACAAAAAGGTGTTGCACTCCTGACAATTTTAGCATCATTTTTGGGCATAACTTTTTTGTTAATTGAGATATCAATGAGATATTTGGCAGGTATTTAAACACTATCTAAAGACATATGCCGAGACATAGAAATCTATTTTCATTGCCTGTATTTTTAGTGTGGGTTGATAAATATGCGTTTGGTCATTTTTTTTGAATTCACCCTGTTGTCTTTAGTCTTGGAACTGTTCATTTTGATAGGAAACTGTGCTCCTGTTTAGAATCACATCTCAAAATATAAAGACTTCCCAGAAATTACTGTTCATTTTGCATTATTCACTGACATGGAGTGATAATAGTGATAATAGTGAAAATGATACACAAACAGGCAGAATATGTCATGGTCAGATTAAAAGAATTTTTTTTTTTTGGATTGAGTCTGAAAGTTACTTAAAGAATACACAGTAACACTTGGTTATAAGGAAGTCATAGACGAATTTCACATTCATAAGAGTTATCTGCCGTGCTCGGCATAATGCTCATTTTTCTCACTGTAACCTTTGTAACTTACCCGTAAATATTTTCAACCATTAAACGCTATCGGACAAGATTGATCCATTCCTGTATTGCCATACTATAGGGCAACATAAAAAAACATAACAAACATATTCATACAGATTTCATTTTAAGACATTGACCCATGAAGTTGGTAATGGTATAGAAGAAAACAGTGTCTTATGCCGGTTGACCCCAGATTGACCCTGCAAAGGGAAATAACTTTTGTAACTGAGAAAGTCGTCTATTGGGACCTCGATTTTTGCTTCCTTATATCCGAGAGTCTTAATGTATATACATATATCTGTATAACAGACATTAACTTGCAGTGTCTTCTGTGGGATTCATAAAAAATTCCTTATAACTGAAGGCTTCTTTATAAGTGAGTTCTTTATAACTGAGTTTTATTGTACTTTCACATTTACCAGAGCCATGCTACTTTCTGTTTCTCCCTAGCCTCTTCCTCTCCAATGTGTTCCTTTTTCAGTTGAAGGTCAATCTCTGCCTTACGTCCCTATCAAAATAAAACAGACTAAAATGAAACATTCAACTCCTATAACACAGCAAGATATGTGCACTGCAAAATAGAGTCAGTGATCAAAGAATTCAAAGTTTAAACTCTGAATGTTAACAACAAAGTAACACTGAAAATCAATATCATCAGATCTATTACTGACTTTTACCATTATGACCAAATAATCAAAATGTTTTCCCTTTGGATATCCAGTGACCCATACCAACGTATGCATGTAAGGAAGCACTCAGATATGCCAGTTACTATACTCCCCCTGCATTTTATTTGCATGAGAGTAACAGACTCTCAAGAGAAACTTTTTCTGTAATTTCAATTTACAGTCACTAGGTAATACAGATCAGGAAACATAACAGACATAGAAATAATGCTTTCAGAATCAATCTGGTGTCAAGATTACAGAACATAGTAGTGTAAACATTAAGTACAGTCAAACCTTGTTATCTTGAACTCATTGGGACCGAGAAAATGCTTTGAGATATCCAAGTATTCCAGATATTAAGGGTAAAAGATTTCAAGAATACACAGTTTGGAATTTAAAATCACTTGGATATATCCCTGGTAATCGAGATATCAGTGTTTGAGATACTGAATTAAACATTAATATATTAAGTTACCAAAATGAACATAATGCTACAATCCTCTAAAGCAGAAACAAATTTAGAGGGCTCACTTTATGTTTCCAATGTTCAAAAAATGATTATTATTCAATTGTCAGTTTTATTTCATTCTCATCTAAATAAATAAAATACAGGGCTGCAATCCAGATTGCAGCAGCCTAATTAGCCACAGGTCATATATCAAATTCCCTTGAATGGACCAAACAACAAGCTGCTAGGTGTCAAATTTTGGGAACAAATATCTCAGTAATAGTTAACTATCAGAACAAATTAAATTTAAATACTAAAACAGAATCTAATCAGTGGCTATTTGCATACCTCAACAGCTGATGTGAACAGCCGGTCTATAAAGGCCACCCAGGCCTGGGGAAGCTGCATCATCTGCTGCCAATTTGAGGGTTGGATTGTCACCTGAACACAGAAGAGACAAACAAGTTACTATCAAGTAGTGCCCTCAAAATAAGCAGTTAATCAATGATTAATTTTTTTGTGGAAAATTTCATTTACTAATCCAAAATGTACTTTTCTGCCTTCATTCTTTGAAATTAGAGATTAGCACCATATGAAGTTTAATAAGACATATTTATATATTTATAAGACATTTAGAGCATACAGCTATAATTTTGCCTAAATTCCTTTTCATTGTTAATATATAAAATTTTTCTTTTTTTGCTCCATTTCAAATTTACCATTTTCAATAAATATTTCTGTAATATTAAATTCAAATTGAAGCAAAACAGAGACTGATTTGGTTATTAACAGTAAAAGGAATGGGTAAGAAATCCTGACACCTCATGAAGCAGGGTAGTGAACATGTGCTGGAAGTTTTTGCTGTGGGTAATGGTGTAGTGCTTTCTGGGACGACCATCTCTTGCCACTTCTATAGGAGGATCATAACTAAACAAAACTCCAGCTATAGACAAAAAAATAAATAAAACACATTCAGAGTTAACATTCTTAGTATGGACTACTAAGCATACTTTGCATCTTCCTACATAAGTATAGAATAGTCTGAGGATTTTCTTTTTTGACTATTAATTAAAGGTCAAGGTCAAAGTCATAATTCATTTTACTTTGACTTCCTTGAAAATTTCTAAATGCAGTCAAAAATAAATTATCCAAGAGAGTGCTATTTATTTGAGTTGCATCAACTTACTATTTATTTTGCTAACAAATGACTTGCATACTTCAGCTATTGAAGTCATACAACACAGCAAATTCTCCTCTTTAGTTTTTCTGTTTAATATTAGTACCTGCCAGACCAGGTCTTAGTCCAGGCTGTTTACATGTGTCATACTGTTGTTGTAGAAATGCTGGTATGGAATCCATCATCTTACTGCGAGTGGAAGTCATGCCTAGCCGCCGTGCAGAGCCATGATACACACCCCGACCAAGGTTCTTAACCTCTGAACCCACATGTTCACACAAGAATTCCCTATATCCTACACCAAAAAAAGTAATGCTTTAATCAAATAGTCAAACATATGGTGTTTGTCTTCACGAAAATGATAAACTACATACCGGGGTACATGCAATTACATACAGATTACCTTCTCACACCTATATGTACATATTACTTTCATACACTTATATACCTTCATGTACTTATGTACAGATGACCTTCACATACCTATGTACTGATTACTTTCACATATCTATGTACACATACCTTCGCACATCTATATACAGATGACCTTTACATACCTTTGTACAGATGACCTTCACACATCTAAATACAGATGACCTTCACATATCTATATATAGATAACTTTCACACTTCTCTGTACTGATTACCTTTATATATCATGTACAATTAACCTTCATTAACTTATATACAGATCACTTTCATACACCTATGTAGATTTTCTTCATATGCTTATGTATAGATTATCTTTTTATATCTATGGACAGATTCTCTCACACATCTATGTACATATTACCATCATATACCCATGTTCAGATTATGGACAGATTACCTTCATATACCATGTAGATTACCTTAATACACCTTTTTTCAGAAGACTTGCACAAACCTATCCACATCTGTACAGATAACCTTAAAATACCTACATACAGATTTCCTTCTTATACCTATATGTACAGATTACCTTCTTATACCTATGTACAGATTACCTCTTATATCTATGTACAGATTACCTCTTATACCTATGTACAGATTACCTTCTTATACCTATGTACAGATTTCCTTCTTATACCTATGTACAGATTTCCTTCTTATACCTATGTACAGATTTCCTTCTTATATCTATGTACAGATTACCTTCTTATACCTATGTACAGATTACCTTCTTATATCTATGTACAGATTACCTTCTTATCATCTTTGCTAGCCAAGGGTTTCTGATACGCTACTCTCCTCATAAACCCTTGGCATACGGTGCTGACAAAAGACGGGATTGTTTTTGTCACGTGATCACGATTCTTACCAGGTATGCACAGATTGCATCATCGACAGAAATAAAAAGCGTATTTAAAAAAATTAATGTTTTTAAAGAATAATTAACAAGAAGGTATTGAGTTATGTTAATTTGTTATTTAAACATGTTAAAATGCAAATCTACATCTTCAGTATTGATTCTTAATCACATATTCTGCATGTAGCTTTAGATATTGGATGACACCATATAGCTTATTCATAGAATGGCATGTTATCTTATTTATTTATTTCATTCCCGATATTAAAGAGTCAAGATATATCCCGAACGCAAATATCGTCATTTACAAAAATCAATTGCTGATTGGTTGAACGATGTCGATCAACTCCTATCACAACTTGAGAAAAAAATCCCAACTTTTTTTAACACCATATGCCAAGGGCTTATGAGGGCTTACGTTTTTCAATCTCGCAATTGCTTAGCTATGACGTCTCAACCGCTCAACTATGACCTCACAGCCTAAGACACTGTGTTACGAAAAGACAGAGGCAAAGGAAAAATCTAAGAAAATGTAATAAACAGAAAATTCAATGTTTTGCAGATGAATATGGAATTTATTTCACTTGTGAGACAAGATTTTTTTATATTTTCACTAGTGCTTTGCACTCGTGAAAATATCAAAAAAATCCTGTCCCACTCGTGAAATAAATTCCATATTCATCTACGAAACATTGAATACCCTCTATATACCTATGTAAAGATTTCCTTCTTATATCTATGTACAGATTTCCTTCTTATATCTATGTACAGATTTCCTTCTTATATCTATGTAAAGATTTCCTTCTTATACCTATGTACAGATTTTCTTCTTATATCTATGTACAGATTTCCTTCTTATATCTATGTACAGATTTCCTTCTTATATCTATGTACAGATTTCCTTCTTATATCTATGTAAAGATTTCCTTCTTATACCTATGTACAGATTTTCTTCTTATATCTATGTACAGATTTCCTTCTTATATCTATGTACAGATTTCCTTCTTATATCTATGTAAAGATTTCCTTCTTATACCTATGTACAGATTTTCTTCTTATATCTATGTACAGATTTCCTTCTTATACCTATGTACAGATTTCCTTCTTATATCTATGTAAAGATTTCCTTCTTATACCTATGTACAGATTTTCTTCTTATATCTATGTACAGATTTCCTTCTTATATCTATGTACAGATTTCCTTCTTATATCTATGTAAAGATTTCCTTCTTATACCTATGTACAGATTTTCTTCTTATATCTATGTACAGATTTCCTTCTTATACCTATGTACAGATTTCCTTCTTATATCTATGTAAAGATTTCCTTCTTATACCTATGTACAGATTTTCTTCTTATATCTATGTACAGATTTCCTTCTTATATCTATGTACAGATTTCCTTCTTATATCTATGTAAAGATTTCCTTCTTATACCTATGTACAGATTTTCTTCTTATACCTATGTACAGATTTCCTTCTTATATCTATGTACAGATTTCCTTCTTATATCTATGTAAAGATTTCCTTCTTATACCTATGTACAGATTACCTTCTTATACCTATGTACAGATTTTCTTCAAACACCAATGTAAAGATTATGTAAATATTCAACTTGTGAGACCACCTTTACATACCTTTGATTTGAGTACTTTTGACATTATACAAGTACCATTATACAACCATGCTAAGATTACCTTCATACACCTCTGGTGAGATTATTGCCAACATTCGTGTGTAGCAGATGCCGGGGACCTCCTTGACAACATCCTCTACAGTCAAGTCTGGGTTATCTCCCCTGTCAATGATGGCCTGTGCCTGCTTAACAATGTCCTCTTTTACCTGTCAGAAAGGAGAATGGCAAATAGCAAGGAACGGTAGAAGTATTGAGTCTTTATCAACATTACAATTGTTATCTGTGTACAACACAGTGCCTCACTAGTTGTTACCATTTAGTTGATCTTTGCTTTTTTAGGAAATTACTGACCTTGAATTAATACATCCAGAAAAAAATAAAGTATACTGACTATATAAAAGCATTGAGCATTATCACATGGAATTTTCCTCTCAAAGTTAAATATCGTGGTCAGGTGAGGACAAAGAGAAGACTAATCAAAATATATAAAACCTTATCTAATCTTCAATGCTACAGTAAAATTTGGTGGAATCTAAATTACAATTGTTTTTTTTTTTTAATTTTTTTCAAATGAAAGCATTTTGAAATGAACAGTATAAAAGTTTGATCATACAAAATTAAGCTATGTTAATAAACAATATTTTTTTTTAGTTAAATGTCTTTACTTATAATAAGAATAGAGTTAAATGACCATCAGCTGAGTCCTAACCCAAATTCACCTGAAATTCTTATTAATGAAGCTATTCTCTCACGTGGTCATTATCTGTACAAGCACTGGATACTGCATATTTAGCTATGAATGTAGGTAAGAGGATGAAGGATAATTCTATACCTTAGAAAACTTCAAATGTTTTTGCACTTGATATGTCCATATCTCAGGTATCATGAATATTTTAAAGTGAGTCTGAGGTCCCAACCACTTTTTCTTTATGTATTTTAACCATGATATCTCAAATCCTTGGATATATATATAAATTATATATATCCACAAGTATTTTGGTTTTTTGGTTACATAAAGTTCAAGATATCAAGATATGACTGTCTCTGTCAAGCTTCATGTAGTGATGGGCCTATATTGTAAATGTTACCTTGTCTGGGATGTGGGCCTTTATTGTAATTGTTACCTTGTCTGGGATGTGGGCCTTTATTGTAAATGTTACCTTGTGAGGGATGTGGGCCTTTACTGTAAATGTTACCCTGTCTGGGATGTGGGCCTTTATTGTAAATGTTACCTTGTCTGGGATGTGGGCCTTTATTGTAAATGTTACCTTGTCTGTGATGTGGGCCTTTATTGTAAATGTTACCCTGTCTGTGATGTGGACCTTTATTGTAAATGTTACCCTGTCTGGGATGTGGGCCTTTATTGTAAATGTTACCCTGTCTGGGATGTGGGCCTTTATTGTAAATGTTACCCTGTCTGTGATGTGGGCCTTTATTGTAAATGTTACCCTGTCTGTGATGTGGGCCTTTATTGTAAATGTTACCCTGTCTGTGATGTGGGCCTTTATTTTAAATGTTACCCTGTCTGGGATGTGGGCCTTTATTGTAAATGTTACCCTGTCTGGGATGTGGGCCTTTATTGTAAATGTTACCTGGTCTAGGATGTGGGCCTTTATTGTAAATGTTACCTTGTCTGGGATGTGGGCCTTTATTGTAAATGTTACCTTGTCTGGGATGTGGGCCTTTATTGTAAATGTTACCTTGTCTGGGATGTGGGCCTTTATTGTAAATGTTACCTTGTCTGGGATGTGGGCCTTTATTGTAAATGTTACCTTGTCTGGGATGTGAGCCTTTATTGGAAATGTTACCTTGTCTGGGATGTGGGCCTTTATTGTAAATGTTACCTTGTCTGGGATGTGGGCCTTTATTGTAATTGTTACCTTGTCTGGGATGTGGGCCTTTATTGTAAATGTTACCTTGTGAGGGATGTGGGCCTTTACTGTAAATGTTACCCTGTCTGGGATGTGGGCCTTTATTGTAAATGTTACCTTGTCTGGGATGTGGGCCTTTATTGTAAATGTTACCTTGTCTGGGATGTGGGCCTTTATTGTAAATGTTACCTTGTCTCAGATGTGGGCCTTTACTGTAAATGTTACCTTGTGAGGGATGTGGGCCTTTATTGTAAATGTTACCTTGTGAGGGATGTGGGCCTTTATTGTAAATGTTACATTGTCTGGGATGTGGGCCTTTATTGTAAATGTTACCTGGTCTAGGATGTGGGCCTTTATTGTAAATGTTACCTTGTCTGGGATGTGGGCCTTTATTGTAAATGTTACCTTGTCTGGGATGTGGGCCTTTATTGTAAATGTTACCTTGTCTGGGATGTGGGCCTTTATTGTAAATGTTACCTTGTCTGGGATGTGGGCCTTTATTGTAAATGTTACCTTGTCTGGGATGTGAGCCTTTATTGGAAATGTTACCTTGTCTGGGATGTGGGCCTTTATTGTAAATGTTACCTTGTCTCAGATGTGGGCCTTTACTGTAAATGTTACCTTGTGAGGGATGTGGGCCTTTATTGTAAATGTTACCTTGTCTAGGGTGTGGGCCTTTATTGTAAATGTTACCTTGTCTGGGATGTGGGCCTTATTGGAAATGTTACCTTGTCTGGGATGTGGGCCTTATTGGAAATGTTACCTTGTCTGGGATGTGGGCCTTATTGGAAATGTTACCTTGTCTGGGATGTGGGCCTTTATTGGAAATGTTACCTTGTCTGGGATGTGGGCCTTATTGGAGATGTTACCTTGTCTGGGATGTGGGCCTTTATTGGAAATGTTACCTTGTCTAGGATGTGAGCCTTTATTGTAAATGTTACCTTGTCTGGGATGTTGGCCTTTATTGTAAATGTTACCTTGTCTGGGATGTGAGCCTATATTGTAAATGTTACCTTGTCAGCAATGTAGGCCTTTATTGTAAATGTTACCTTGTCTGGGATGTGAGCAAGGCTAAAACATCTGATGTCAAACTGTGATAAGGCTTTGAGGGCAGATCTGCTAACATCAGGGTCACTTCCATGCACAAAAAGCCAGAGGGCAGATACAGCATACTGATGGAACCTCTACAAGATAGACAAGGGGCCCATGGGCTACATCGCTCACCTGAGCACATTAGCTAGGAAAAGGCAGAGATCAGTTCAGAATTGAAAATGGGGGGGGGGGGGGCAAATTCATTTTGAACAACTTTGAATCTACACTACCTGAGGATAATTCTGTATTGATATGACTAATAATGGCTTCGCTGTTCTTTAGAAGAGGATTTTTAATATTTCCTATATATTCCTATGGTAAACTTTGACCCCCTGTTGTGGCCTTGCTCTACCCCCAGGGGTCATGATTTGAACAAATTTGAATCTACACTACCAGAGGATACTTCTATGATGATATGACTAATCATGATTTTGCTGTTCTAGAGAAGAAAATTTTAAAAGACATATATCCTATATATACATTCTATATATTCATATGTAAAACTTTGACCCCTCTTGTGGCCCCACCCTACCCCCGGGGGTTATGATATGAACAAACTTGAATCCTAAGTATGTAATGAAACTTTTACATAAGATTCATTGGTTCTTGCCTGGTGGTTCTTGAGGAGAAGATTTTAAAGCCAATAAAATTTTCACGAATTCTTAATTATCTCCCCTTGAAAGAGAGTGGGCCCTTTCTGTGAATAAACTTAAAGCCCCTTCACCCAAGGATGCTTTGTGGCAAGTTTGGTTGAAATTGGCCCAGTGTTTCTTGAGAAGAAGTTGAAAATGTGAAGTTTACAGACAACGGACGACAGACGGACACTGGACACTCTTTGGTCAGAAAAGCTGAAGGCTCAGGTGAGCTAAAAATGAAGTGACCATCAATATTTTTTTGGATAAGCTTATATCAATTATGTTAACTGTTTTGCTATATAGAGAATTAAGAGATGATTTTTACTGAATATACCATTATGATTTATTACAAAGTCACTGAAATTGAAAAAATAAGAGTGCTACAGTGCAGAGAATAGTGAATGATTTACGTGTAACACACTTGATTCAAAAGTAAGAATACAAATGTTGTATGAAATAAAAGAGAAATTAAAGTGCATGAATATCTAAAAGTTAAAAAAAAATTGCAACCTAGTGCTGTGAAAGCAAAATTACAGTTCAGTTTTCACAGAATCTCTAAACCATCTTTTGAATTAAGTTAGCATTCTTAAATTTTTTTTTTCTGTACTTATGCAAATTTTTTGATTGAAGAAATGTTCTTATTTGATCTGAATGTTTGAATGATTGCTGTCATCATTAGTCTTACAGACATTAAAGTTTACACTTGATTAATATTCTAATTTCTTGTTTCTATACGGCTTTTTCATTTTTCTTTGTTTCCTCTGTTGCACTGAATTTCTTTTTCCAATACCCATACCTCAAATTCCTCGGTCTTCACTTCCAGTTCTGGTAGTAAAGAGAAAAGCTTGCAGATTCTCTCCTGAACTATTGATCTATTTAGAAAAGAAGGGAAAAAAATTCAATGTAAAAGCATGGCCGTGTATTATAATGCTTAGCACATAGACTAATCCTCTATCAAGGCCTCTACAGTAGATAAGGTGTCTTATAAAAGACCAGACAAACAGATGAGCAGTGGATAATGACTTAATGAGCCAAACCATTCATTTAAATCTGACTAATCAATACCTTATTCAGGAAATGATCAGGGTTTTCATTCATCAATGTCCAATTTGTAGTTGGAACTATAGTTTCCCCACAGCATGACAAATGATAATGAAAAATTATAAATGTATTGCCTAAATCCAGACACAAAATAACCTATTATGGTTGAAATCAAAGACTTTTTTCACAAATATATATACGGGTTGTAAATGCAATCTACCGTATATACTCGCCTATAAGTCGGTCCGCCTATAAATTGGTTGTATTTTTTAAGCTCAAATCAGAGGGTTTGACCTTCTAAAATACCAATCTTTTTATAACTCGCGTATAAGTCAGATAAAGAGTTATGGACCAAAGTTTAACTCCCAAAAAACCGACTTATAGGCGAGTATATACGGTACATATATTGTGTGTCTGTTGTCAAATTAAGTCAGTCAAAATCTTGAAATTTTTCCACACCAAACTTCAGGTGTGTGGTACAGTGGCTTGTTAAAAATTTCTTCAAATAGAAAATACTTCTTAGCCTTGAAATATGCAAGTGTTAAAATGCAGCAATATAGAAAAAGCTTGTAAAAATAGAGCTGATTTCCTAAATTGGGCTATACAGCAGAGATTTCAAATTTTAATATGTTTACAAAAACTATTATGATGCTAATTTACAAAAGTATATTTCTTTCATGAGTGTTTATTTTTACTCAATAAATAATTCAACAAAGAGTATAATAAATATTTCAACTGAGAGTATAAAAAATAAACAATTATTGAGAAAAAATCCTCAAAAGATTTGATTTCCATACATTTCAATATTTTGCTTCTGTGGCCCAGAATAATGCCTTTTATGATCCCGTCTTATTTCACTATATCCACTGGAAGGAAACATGATCCTTCATTCGAGCTAATTAGAATTTCCTTAGAAAAGCTGCTTTGAGATGAGTTTGATTGAAATTTGACAATTGGTTCCAGAGAATTTGCTGCACTCATGAAATGTTATTATTTATTGCTAGACAACAGATGCTAGGTTACACCACAGTGAATGACAATTTAATCTGAAAAGTTGACTTGAGTCTTTCACTCAGGTGAGCTAGAAATACCTTGGATCATGAGTAAGTTTCTCTCCTAAAACTGACCATGCTGAAAGGATATCAATAACCTGAAAAGAAATAACATCATAAATACATTGATCGTTTTTTGTTATATCATTTTGTTTATGGTTGTTGTTGGTTCTTTTTTTTTAAATAAAATTTTTTCTACTGATAATGAGAAATATTTTGGTATTATCATTTTTAAAACCATACTTACAAAACACTTACTCATTAAATAAAGAAATCCTGCATTTGCACTGTCTTCTGAACTCCAGTACAATAATACTATGTTAATGAAATAACTTACTTCATCTTTACATAAGTAGTAAAGCCCCTCTAAGGCAAGGGAGGCAACTGGAGAATCCACTTCCTGTATGGAGTTTTCCAATAATTCAGACAAGGGAGACAACATATCACTGCCATGCTGTTCTCCTCTGAAATAAAATGCACATATATACCTAATATTCTGTGGTCTGAATTTAGGGCAAAATAGACCCCAATAATTTTTATGTCTGAAAAGTTTTCATAGTTTTATTTGTAGGTGGTATTTTACCCATACAGAAATTGATAGAATTAACATCCCATTAAATTTGTAACAGTCTATACCTTCACTTTATAGTTGGAAATAACTTCTCTAGTTAATTTGCATATTAATTACATATTTACTGTGAATGAAGACATGAAACAACTTGGAATTTGTTACCTTCAATCGGAATGTATCATATCGAAAATTGTATATGTATTGTATTGTGGATAGATTAAAGTAATTTAATATTCATTAATCAAATCTGAAGTGACGCCATTTTGTTTTGCTATTTTTGTTGTTTGTTTACTTCCGATCAGTAGTGCCCCCTAGGGGTAAGCCCCAGTCCTATTTGGTTTCCTGGGTTGCAATAGCGCCCCCTGGAAAAACAAGTTGCACCAGCCAATCAAATCTTGTTTTTTACATCCTTAAGCCAATGAAATTAACGCTGGACGGTCTTTTAAATTCTGACCAATGAGAATGCTGTATTTTCATAAGATTAGGAAAGACCTACCACTTAAGCGTCACTTTCAAAAAAAATTTCGTTGCACAAAGACCTCATCAAAATTTTTCAGCCATTTGTCGCGTATTTTTTATATGTAAACTATACCAACTAACCTTATACCCATGTTGTAATGTAAATTGGAAATCGAAAGTGAAACTGGTGACATGTTTCAACGGCGTGAACGCCCTTTGAACTTACTGTGCCATTTATAGACTGGAAAAAACGTTGACTCTCTAATTCAAAATGGCGGATTACCAACATCTTCGAGTGTTCTTTGACATTCCCGATTGGTATGTGATATACAGTGACGAGGCTAAACGTTTTGACTCTTACATTGTTAAGTGCAACGGAGCCAGAGACCAAGTGTTATTTTATATCAGAGACCAAAGGTTTCTCAGAGTTTTCAAAATAATGCGGCCCCCAAAATCCACTCAAACTCTCAACCTTACACCCCTAGGGCATCGCACAATGCGCAAGGGGTAGAAATCTGTAAACGATTTAATGTTAGGAAAGGCTGTTCTGTGATGCGATGTCGCTTTGACCACACCTGCTCTGTGCCAGGTTGTGGTCAGACACATCCTGCCTATGACCATATCTCAGTCACAAAACCAAAAAACCAATAGACACAAAACCTTGCAATGGCTTGAATTTTGCAGCCTGGGAGGAAGAATTAACAAATGACTTTGATAAAACTTTTATTTTAAATGGAATTAAAAATGGCTTTGATATAATAGACCCTTCGCTTTCACCTAAACCCATAGAGCTTGACAACCATTTCTCGGCATCTGAAACAAATGATCTTTATGAAAAAGCTACCTTACAAATTTTGCAAGAAATTGAATTTCACAATTTGGGTAAAGGGTTCATTGTTCATTTATATAATGAAAGCTTTTACTTCTTTGATGTCCAGCAGTAAAGAAGATGTTCTTATATAAAATGCATTTAAAAAAAAAAAAAAAGAATTAGGGAATTACATCCACGCCCCTACGCCACCAACAATTGTAAGCCCCCTAGGGGTTATCCCAAAATCTGACAATGGGGTGCGTTTAATTCAAGACTGCAGCAGACCTAAGGGTTTGGCTGTCACTGACTATGTTACAGAGCTAGAAAAACAAAAATATCAATCAGTTGATGATGCCTGTAAACCAATTGAAAAGGGTTCTTTTATGGCTAAGGTAGACTTGAAGTCGGCTTATCACTCTGTCCCTATTAGTCAACAAAGCATGAAAGTAACAGGCCTAAAATGGAAAATTAACAACCAGATTCAATATTTTTATGATTCTAAGTTACCTTTTGGCTCTAGGGTGGCGCCCAGCATTTTTCATAGGCTATCCCAGGCTGTAAGACACATGATGTCAAGGCGGGGTTTTGTAGTTGTTGTTTATTTGGATGATTTTTTAATTTGTGAAAAATCCAGAGATAGATGTGCAAATTAGGCAATGAGGGTCCTCATTGCTCTTCTTAGAAAGTTGGGTTTCTCATTTAATTGGCAAAAAGTTGTGGACCCAAGCCAGGTCTTAGTTTTCTTAGGCATTGAAATAGACACTGTTAATTTAGAACTTAGATTGCCTAACGATAAATTAGTGCAATTAAAAGAAGAATTAGCATCATTTTTGCGCTGTAGACCTGCCTCTAAGCGCCAACTACAATCACTAATGGGAAAATTGAACTGGGCCGCTGCTGTGGTCTGTGGTGGGAGAGTGTTCCTCCTTCGAATAATTAATGCTTTTTCCCCACTCAAGCAGAAATCGCATAAAACCATTCTTATACCTGCCGTGAGGGCAGACATTGAATGGTGGCATACCTTTATGGCCTCATTTAATGGTCGCTTTTTGATGCTCCACAAAAGCCCCATCACCACTGTCCACACTGATGCATGTGTGGAAAGGGGGGCAGGCTCTTGGTTACAGGATTGGTTCTATTGCAATTGGCAGATGGATTGCCCATCTGCAACAAACAGGCTTATAAACGAAAAAGAAACATTGGCTATCGTGCTCACAGCACTACGCTGGTCCAAGTTGTGGACAAACCACAATGTGTGGTTCTTTTGTGACAATTCAGCTACAGTAGCATGTATAAATAAGGGGTCATCAAAAAACAAAATTCTCATGAACTATATCAGAGTACTTTTCTGGCTGTCTGCAAAAAATAACTTAAAATCAGTGCTAAACACATACCCGGCAAAGCAAATGTGAAAGCAGACCAATTATCAAGTTTGCATGAACAACAATCCTTTTTCAAAATATTTACACAAGACAACTTTCCCAATGCCTCTTATGGTCACATATCTAAGGCTACATCTGCTCTTCTTTTCAGAAGACATGCTCCAAGACACCAGAGCCAATTTAGATGCCACAGTGGCTAAGTTCAGGAAAAGCGCTCTTGCTGAGTCAACTAAAAGGACTTACCGAACTTATTTAGTAGCCTACATGAAATTTTGTACCCTGATGCACATTTCTTTAGTGCCCATATCGCCACAAAGCTCATAAACATGTGATATAAATGCTAATTATCAAAACCCTGCCTCTGAAAGTCAAAAAGACACAAGTTAAACCATCCGTCTGGAGTATTTTTGCAAAGTAGGTCAATGTTCAAGTGGACTGTAAGCGTTGGCATTTTTCATAATGTTTTATGGCAAACAGTACACATGCTAAATAGCATAAACTTGCATGTTACATGTCAAAATTATGTTGTTTATCTGCACAATGAACTATTTTAAAAGTAGGTCAAAGGTCAAGTACAAAAGTCACAAGGTTGTGAACCACGGTATTAAGTGCTAAGCAATGTATGTTCAAAACCTCTTACAGTTCTCAGGATAAAGGGTGTGACAGATGGACAGCTAGACAGCTGGAAGGAAGGATGGACAGACACAGATACCAGGTAAAGTGATCCCTACGCATCCTTCTGCTTTGCAGGCGACACAAAAACATGACTTCCCAACCCTCAAAGCTAAAACAAATAATGAAATTGAAATTATTAGAAATAATGCTTTATCGACAATCCCCTAGATTGGAGACTAGACAGGGATTTCAGTCTGTGTTTACACAAATTCTCAGTCTTATATTTGCAAAGGAGATCAAAGGTCAAGGTCAGATGGACTGTCATGCTAATATTTTTTTCATAATATCTTATGGATATCAGTGCACATGATAAATAGCACAGATTCACCTCTTAAATGTCAAAACAAAATGTATATACGCTCTACGAACTATTTTGAAAAGTAGGTCAAAGATCAAGTTCAAAGGTCACAATGTGGGTAACCCTGGTATTTTACAAAAGCCATAGTGCCAAACTATATATGTGCAAAATATTAAATCTATACCTAGCCTCTTTCCGTTCTCTAGATTATAAAGTGTGACAGACAGACAGAAGGACGGACAGACAGACAGATGCCGGGTAAAGTGATCCTTAAGTGTGGCTCTGCTCTGCAGGTGACACAAAATGAGTCAATTAATGTCATCAATATAAAGATATATACCAAAAACCAGCTTATTATCTACAAACACATCAGAATGACAAATTGATGGAGGGAAAGGGGTAACACTATTTGCTTCGACCATTTCATGGCGGAGGCTAAAAACAAGAGTAGACATTTTCAGAGAACAAATTCATAACAATGCATGACCAGTATACTGCACTTATGGCTCAAAGAAAATCAATGCTACCTGCTTAGTATTAGATGACATATCATTATAGGATTATACACACTATTATCTTCTTTCATTATTATGACCTCACACATAAACCTTTCCATGAAGGTGTTAATAACAGGGAAAATAATAATCACAAAAATAGCATATTCAGGGATCATGTGTAACATGCATGTACATGTGCTCCATAGCAATAGGTAGAAGTACATTACTTTTAAAAATATGCCATAGGGATTAAGCTTTAAAAATTCATTATTTTTTTAGAATTTTTAATCTTTCAAAAACAAGATGTATGCTAGCGTAATAGGATTTTATCAAGGCATAGCTGAAGACATTTCCTTGCTCACGTACTATCCGCAGACTAGTTCTGTCGGTGGCAAATTACCTAAATTTACTACTTAAATATCTTCACCCACGTACTAACACATGCTTGTAATTTGCATATGTTTGCCTACCCCCAAGGAGTCAGGATTTGAAGAAACTTAAATCTTCACTACCTGGTGATGCTTCCACATCGATATGAATAATCATAGCTTTGCTGTTCTTAATAAGAAGATTTTTATGCCCCCATATCGAAGATTCAGGGGTATATAGTTTTTGCCCTGTCCATCTGTTTGTCTGTTTATCTGTTTGTCCACAAAAACTTTAACATTGCTCATAACTTTTGATTGGTTGAAGCTATAGCTTTCATATTTCACATGTGTATTCCTTGTGACAAGACCTTTCTTTGGGACCATCATATTTGACCTTTTGACATCGACCTTGGAGTTTGACCCAGTTTTACAAAATTTTACCCAACTTTAACCTTGGTCATAACTTTTGAACAGTTGGAGCTAGGGCTTTCATTTTTTACATGTGTATTACTTGTGACAAGACCTGCTTTAAGATACCAACAACTTTGACCTTTGACCTAGACCTAGGAGTTTGACCTACTTTTGAAAAACTTTAACCTTAGCCATAACTTTTAAATGGTTGGAGCTAGGGCTTTCATACTTCATATATGTAATCCTTGTGACAAGACGTTCCTTTGGATACCAACAACTTTGACCGTTTGACCTTGGAGTTTGACCTACTTTTGGAAACTTCAACCTTGGCCATAATTTTTGAACAGTTGGTGCTAGGGCTTTCATTATTTCAGATGTGTATTACTTGTGACAAGACCTGCTTTAAGATACCAACAATTTTATCCCATTGACCTTGGAGATTGACCTACTTTTTGAAAACTTTATCCTTGGCCACTACTTTAGAGCAGTTGGTGCTAGGGCTTTCATACTTCACACATGTAGTCCTTGTGACAAGACCTTCCTCTGGATACCTGAACAAATTTGACCATTTAACCTTGACCTTGGAGTTTGACCTACTTCTGAAAGACTTTAACCTTAGCATATCTAACACGCTTCATGAAATATGCCGGCGTGAAGCATCGTAATTCATGTCCTCATGAATCTTCAAAATTTAAATTCATTTCTTAAATGAATTTGATTTTATGCACAAGATTAAGTGAAAGCAGTAAATGACACATAATTGGATACTATAGACAACCCCTTGTTTACATGTGACATTATTTTGTGTTTGAAATGTGTTTCCATATAATTTGAATTATTTACAAATTGTTCAAACTTTTAACCCTTAAATTTCATAATTTTATACACTGTCTATACCTGATTTTGTGGATTCAAAGATACCCGATTTCGGGGACTATTCATAATTTCACGGATAATACCGGATTTCAAGTATTCTCTCCAACCTGTTCAAGACCAGCTGCACTGTGTAATTCGTGAAGTAAACCATTAAGTGAAATGAATATACAGACGGATTCTGTTGAGACAACATTACACGCCAGAACAACTCATTTTTGAATATCAAGCTACATTGTATTATCAAAAGTAACAAATCTAGCGTTTTTAATAAAATCCCTCTGTGACCAGGAGTCATCAATATTTACAGTGCACAGATGTATATGACTGTCCTGTGCACTGAATTAAATTGTCTGTAATCACGGTGATAAAAGGACTGGGTCTTTATTGATATAGTGCTTAATATTTGACAAAGAAATTGGACTGAACAGCATGTCTAATCTTCTTCCCATGTGCCCTCGGCAATCCTGCTGCAAATGATGGGTCATAGCTTGCCCAGATTATAAGTGGCCAATAATGACATTTTCTGTCAAGGTCAAAACCCTGCTTCATCTTTTCTGATGTCACAGATCAAGATCGAGTCATTTACAATGGATAATAAAACATTTTTACTCGAGTTACTTTGTTCCGTTTCTTTGCAGAGAAATTAATTGAGACAAAAAATATTAAATTTCAATCATTTTCTCATTGTTTATGAAACCAAAACAGGAATCAGTGACTGCGTTAGAATTGACTAATTATATTGGTTTATAAGAAGTCAGTGATAATTCTTCCACATATTGGAGATCAAATTGAGAGTGTGATGGACCAGTTTTAAGCCTTTGGTCTATTAGTGGGGACTACAAAGGCTTTGCCCTTTTTCAAAGCTCCTCAAGGACACCAATTTTACACAATGTGATGACTGCAAGAGCAAATATGACAAAGTTTTTGTTCTTATGACAAAAGCCTCACAAGAATTTGTTTAAGGAAGGCAAAATGCAACACACTTGATGAAATTAACCTCTTCATTCAAAAGAAGCTTTAATGAAAGATTTGATACCCCTTCAGATAACTGAATGGATTTTAAGAATATTGCTAGCATTCCTTCCTTTGGCTTTTGGTATTGAGATCTGCATTGAAAAGACTTCCCCCCACCTCCTTTCTGGTAATTTGCATATAATGTGCATTTCTTCTTATTAAATCAGCATCTAAAAGGACTTTAAACATAATTCCAAAAAAAATCCTTAAAATATAAACAATTTAAATAACAATTATATTGCATCATATAGATACCATTCAAATAAGTACCAAGACGTACATGGTTTTTTTTTCTGAATCAGTATCTTTAGAAAATCTGATTTTTAGAACAAAATGTGAATACCACTGATTGGGTATTTATATTTTGTTTCCTTTTTTCTCAGTTACTAATGTATCATCACCTGAGGAGACAGACATCATGAATGGCTTTGGCTTTTGCCAGTTTCACTTCATCCACTCCTTCTTTGGTCAGTATGGCTTCAGCTGGCTCCGAGATGGCCTTCAGAAGGTAGGGGAAGCACCTGTCTTGAAGCTTCCAGAGGTCTGCCAGCAACTGTATTGACAGAGCCTTCAAACGAGGAGTGGATCCAAAAGTTTGTATGGTCCTTAAGACCAAAGGGATACAGAACTGTCAAAATAAAGCAGATTTATTTAAATTCACAAGTTCAACCTCAATACCAATAAAAAAAGGATAAAATAAGTACTACTGAAACAAAGCTTTAAGTTATCTTGTGCTGAGCTATGCTTGGAACAGCTTTCATGATGCAGAGTTTGAACTTGTCCCCTACATTACCTTGTGTTGAGCTACACTAGGAACAGATTTCATGATACCGAGTTTGTACTTACCTTGTGTTGAGCTAAACTAGGATACTGAGTTTGTACTTACCTTGTGTTGAGCTACACTAGAAATAATCCTCATGATACTGAGTTTGTACTTACCTTGTGTTGGGCTAAACTAGGATAGTGAGTTTGTACTTACCTTGTGTTGAGCTACACTAGAAATAATCTTCATGATAATGAGTTTGTACTTACCTTGTGTTGAGCAACATGAGAAATAATCTTCATGATACTGAGTTTGTACTTACCTTGTGTTGAGCTAAACTAGGATATTGAGTTTGTACTTGCCTTGTGTTGAGCTACACCAGAAATAATCCTCATGATACTGAGTTTGTACTTGCCTTGTGTTGAGCTACACCAGAAATAATCCTCATGATACTGAGTTTGTACTTACCTTGTGTTGAGCTACACTAGAAATAATCTTCATGATACTGAGTTTGTTCTTACCTTGTGTTGAGCTACACTAGAAATAATCTTCATGATACTGAGTTTGTACTTAAGTTGTGTTGAGCAACATGAGAAATAATCTTCATGATACTGAGTTTGTACTTACCTTGTGTTGAGCAACACTAGGAACAGATTTCATGATACTGAGTTTGTACTTACCTTGTGTTGAGCAACACTAGGAACAGATTTCATGATACTGAGTTTGTACTAACCTTGTGTTGAGCAACATGAGAAATAATCTTCATGATACTGAGTTTGTACTTACCTTGTGTTGAGCAACATGAGAAATAATCTTCATGATACTGAGTTTGTACTTACCTTGTGTTGAGCTACACTAGGAACAGATTTCATGATACTGAGTTTGTACTTACCTTGTGTTGAGCAACATGAGAAATAATCTTCATGATACTGAGTTTGTACTTACCTTGTGTTGAGCTACACTAGGAATAATCCTCATGATACTGAGTTTGTACTTACCTTGTGTTGAGCAACATGAGAAATAATCTTCATGATATTGAGTTTGTACTTGCCTTGCGTTGAGCTAAACTAGAAATAATCTTCATGATACTGAGTTTGTACCTACCTTGTGTTGAGCTACATGAGAAATAATCTTCATGATACTGAGTTTGTACTTACCTTGTGTTGAGCAACGTGAGAAATAATCTTCATGATACTGAGTTTGTACCTACCTTGTGTTGAGCTACAGTAGGAACAGATTTCATGATACTGAGTTTGTACTTACCTTGTGTTGAGCTACAGTAGGAACAGATTTCATGATACTGAGTTTGTATTTACCTTGTGTTGAGCTACACTAGGAACAGATTTCATGATACTGAGTTTGTACTCTGGTTGGATGCACTTGTTCAGCTGGTAGATGTATAGGGGTAAAAAGAAGCATGCCTAAATCATAAAAAATTATTTTGTTTAGTATTCTTCCAAATAAAATATTCTCCGAGGTCAACAAACTCTTATACAAAAGGATAATAATTATCAACTTAATATTGAGTAATGAATATTTCCTTGAATCAAGAAGTTCAACTTGCAAAGGTTGCTTGATACATTTAATGATTACAACATTTTAAAATATAATTGATGTTTTTGATGAATGTGATTGGTACA